AAAATAGGTTACTTCAAACGGTCCATAACAAAGTGGATTGTGTTGTCTCGTTAATTGTGTCGACGTGCTAATCAATCATTAGGTCGAGACCGATTGATAATAAACAACCGAGGTTACATCATCGTCCGGGGAGGTCGTTTGACAACAAAATTGCCTAACATATAGAAACTTGCTTTATTTTGCTTAGCTGAACATGCTGTTATCCGTAATGTAGTTGGCATCTCTTTTTTATACTAGTTAATCCGCAATACTTATATTTTTTTCCTTCTGTGGATTAGGTTCCACGTTTTAGCAGTTATTGTCACATGTTTTTGTCTGATAAAAGGGTCATACAATTTGGCTTGAAGCATCCATCACGTCTAGTTAGTTAAAGATGGAGAGTGCCACCAGGGCATATCTCCCAGTGGCAAAGGGGAGGGCAGATAGGGCTCAGCGCGGCAGTGTGCAGAGTTCGATTCCCCTCAAGGTGGAATTGGCTTTGTTGCAAGCGGGAGTTACCATATGGGTTAATAGCCTTGACCTATTCATGTGCTCTCCACCCTGATTCCTGGGAGGCACATCCTGCGATTTACCTCCTCCACAATGGCCCAGGGCAGGGTCGGTGGGGGCCCCTAAGGTTGGGGTTCAACCTTTAGTTAAAGATGGAGAGTTAAAGGTTGAACCCCAATCTTAAGGCCCCCACCGTCTCGCCCCTAGAGTTTTGTGAGGAAAATAAATCGTGAGATATATCCCAATAAGTTAGGGAACAAGAGTTGCATGTACACTCCGCCTATAAGGAGTCCAATTTCATGTCTCAGAAATCGAACTCTCACACTACGACTGTCAGCAATACGTGAAATAACCTTACTCTTGTCCTTTACACCACTGAGCTATGTCCCGAAGAGCTAAAAATAACCTCATGCATAGTTTTTTTTTTTTTGGTTAAAGATGGAGAGCACATACGTGTACACTTGTATGTCCGATTATCGATTTAAAAATATAATATTTGTCACGAGTAAATATAATAATTTAAGAGTCCATTTGGAAAGATTTTTAAAAAATTAAAAATTGCTCATGAGATTAAAAAATTATTTTGAAACTCGTTTGAAAATTTTTTTTGAAAGTGACTTTGTCCGATTAAAAAATAAAAATAAAAATTAACCCTTGTTTGAGCTCATTTTTTGAGGAAAAATGCATTTTTGAATGAATAATATTATTTGTAGTCATTCAATATCACATTCGTCCTAAGTGACATAAGTATGGTGGTTAGTGATGGATATATAAGGCAAGAAAAATTACCATATTAATATATCAGATCACTATGAAGGTTGTCACTTAAAACGACTAGCGCATTGAGTGACAGTGAATAACACTACTCTTTTTGAATAGTGTATTGATTGTAAATGTATGGTTAAAAAATAAAGAAAAATTTTTAATTTGTATTTATTATTATTTTATTCAAGAATATATTGATAAAATGATATCAAAATACTATTTAAAAATATTTTTTTTTTCCCAAAAAATAAGGCTCAAGCAAAGGTGTAGCTGCATTTATTGCAAAACGGTACTTGTGCTCCCGGCACTCGAAACTAAACAGAATTTTGTTTTCGATCGAAACTCACAAAAATAAAAAATAAAATGTATTTCCTAAAGAAAACAGAAAACTTGTTAATTTGACTTAATTTTCAATTGAGTTGTTATATACTTCAATTTGTTTATGATCATATTATACTTTCATTTTGTGTCAATTAAGTCACTAAATTTAATTTGTCTCAATTTAGATCACTTTATTCAATTATTGAAGAAGTGATAAAATTTAAAAACCCCATTATTCCTGTTAAATTTGTGGACTGAAATTAACTATTTTTTTATTGTATCATTTCTTCCGAGTCATTCTATGACCACTTAGTGTGACCACTAATTTTAAAGGTCATGTCAGGACCTAATATTAGACAATATGATGAAATCGAACGAAATTAATAAATCAAGTAAAATTGACAACTTTTTTTTTTTTTTTTTTTTTTTTTTTTTTTTTTTTTTTTTTTGGGGTTTTTTTGGGTCATCCATTTCTCGAAATTCCATCATGAAATTTCAGATAGTTTGGAGTTTAATTTGCATATACATATTTTTTCTACTGATCTTGAGCAGTCCGGCTAAAGTGAGAGCTGGTGACATAGTTCATGATGATAATTCGGCTCCCAAAAAGCCCGGCTGCGAGAATGATTTTGTGCTGGTAATTCTATCATTTTCTTGCTCCTCCTTTACTTATTTAATTTTCTCTGATTTATCAAAAAATTAGTTTTTTATATTTATTTAATCAAGATTCAGTTTTAGCAAAAGCTAAATTTAATTATGATTTGATTGTTTTCTCACAGTATATTTTGTGATTTCTCGTATAATTAATTTTAGATGAAAAAATGTAATTTGGAGAGGCAGTTAAGATCTTTTGCTATTTAATTTTCTTCATGGTTTTCATTTTTTTTCCTGTTATATTTCAGTATTTTCAAAAACTTTTGTATGATTTTTTCTGATTGGTTTATTTTTATATGGTAATTTGGTGAAATGCATCTGGTTCCGTAATTTCAATTTCTTTTATGCACTCTGGTACAAAATAAGCTCTGTGGTAAGTCCACGACATCTGAGAAGACGTGCTAATGTTTTTTTCCCCTTAAATTCTGAATTGAGTTTACACTGAAGATTAATTATGATATGCACATCTCTGTAACTTATTATGGGATATCCAGTTAGGTGAATCAGATATTACTCAATAGCATTAAGGAAGAACAATCAGCTAAATTTTTGTCCATTGTAAATTCGAGCTCTGTCCCAACTGCATATCAAACACGTGATCAACATAGTTGCGAGACTGCAACTGAAGCCTCTTTTGCAGGCTTTTGTCTGTCTATTCTTGATTGTTGTCTTATTCTTGTTTAGATAACCGTTGTTATATGTTTTGCTAGGTAAAAGTTCAAACTTGGGTTGATGGCATAGAGGATGAGGAATTTGTTGGTGTGGGTGCTAGATTTGGCACTACCATAGTATCGAAGGAGAAAAATGCGAACCAAACACATCTTACTCTCTCGGATCCTCGGGATTGTTGCAGTTCTCCTAAGAAAAAGGTCTTTATTTCGATCCCGACACCCTGTTTTTGTTTTCAAAAACTCTCTTTTCATTAATGGGATTATTTTTCTTTGTTGGTAACATTGGATTTTCTTTGATGCTTTAGTTTGTAGGAGATGTCATCATGGTGGATCGAGGCAACTGCAAATTTACAGCGAAGGCAAATTTTGCAGAAGCTGCTGGTGCTTCAGCTGTCCTCATTATAAATAACCAGAAAGGTAACAACATTTTCATTTATTGGTATAGTATATGATGTGGGGCAATTTTAAACTTTTTTCTGCATAGTGCTCATGAAATTCTAAACAAGTTAAACGTGCCATTATTTTCTCTCGGAGATTTTATGCACCGCTGATTTCTAAGAAGGGAGAAAGACAAGCTAAGATTACTCATACAGCCATTTTGTTAGTGCTATAGCACAACTCAAACATTTTTAATGCTTAACATTTGAATTATGGCTAAGCAAACTTTTTATCTTTAGCCAAATGTGCATTCTACCAGTGGGTTCAGATGCACAGTGCTGATTATCTTTAACATTGAAAGATTGGTATTGTCTATGAACTTTGTACGCACTGTTGAATAATTGGATTGTATGCCTTCTGCAAGTATGGGCCAGCATGTGAAATCACAGCCTGTTTATTTTGCCAGTTCTGCTTATTTTGTGACAGAAATGACTCAATCTTGCAGAACTTTACAAAATGGTTTGTGAGCCTGATGAAACAGATCTAGACATACACATACCTGCTGTCATGCTTCCCCAAGATGCAGGTGCGACATTGGAGAAAATGTTGTCAAATGGTTCATCAGGTAAGATCTTATTTTTCACTTGAAAACTACAACTGAATATTTTAACTTTCATCCACACCTCACTCTTTTAACTTGCTCTGTCACAATCACATCATTCTTCTGTAGGAAAATGAAAACAGCAAACGTCATAATTAAATTACTATATCTGCCGATGACATGAAGTCATGAACTGTAAATTGTTGCACCTCATCAAGTCCCAGACAATCTTGGTAGCAACTATGAGGGAGACTTGTGTAATGGGCTCTGAGCAACTGCTTGACCCTTTGTCCTCAAATAGCAAAATTGCCTAGTAGAAGATTCATTTAGAAGCCCAGCGTATATTTTTAATAGAGGCTCAGTTTATATCACAAAGCCAATGTGGGGTACTAGATAAGTTCTAACCGTCATTTTTCAGTCTGCTTTTTAAGTGACAAACATTATGTATTTGAGGGTTTGATCAAGGTAGTTTATATATGAGGCTGTCTTGCGAAATACTATATGGGGTGAGCTGAACAACTTTCTCGATCATTATGCATCTAAGTTTGACGACGAATGATAGAGAGTACACTTTAAGCATCCTTTCTTCCTTTTTACTTTATTCTTTCCTGAACGCATTTTCCTTTCTTTAGTTTCTGTGCAGCTTTACTCTCCACGTAGACCAGTTGTTGATATAGCAGAAGTATTTTTATGGCTGATGGCAGTGGGTACCATCCTATGTGCATCTTATTGGTCTGCATGGAGCGCCAGAGAGGCAGCCATAGAGCAAGATAAGTTGTTAAAGGTCAGCCATCTTTTCCTGGACCTATCTTGATTTGGGCTTTGTTTTTCTTAATAGTATCTAGTAGTGTCTAATCCATCTTATTAAACGTGCGAGTAGGGTTTAAGTCTTTCACCGCCTTTACTTTTAAAAGAATGTATCATATTCTTGTAGGATGCTTCTGATGAAATTCCAAATACTAAAAGTCATGCTGGAGGAAGCAATGTGGTGGATATCAATACGATCTCTGCAGTCTTATTCGTCGTTGTTGCATCATGCTTCTTAATTTTACTCTACAAATTAATGTCGTTCTGGTTCATTGAACTCTTGGTGGTTCTCTTTTGTATTGGTGGTGTAGAGGTGCAAGTCATCCCTTTCTACTTTATATATATTCCTGTATTTCTCTTCAGCATGTTTGCCTAAGTTAAATAAGTAAGTTTTAAAATAAACAATAATAAGGTAAGAGTTACTTACAAAACTACTAACCTTTTTTCTTAAACATTGGATAAAAGTAAAATTTCCAAGCATGGCATCAAAAAGTAACTTCTACTATTTTAAGCCTAGCCGAATATGCTCCAGGCATCTAACATCTGTACCTTTGTTGTCTGACACTGTCTCTATTGTTTGTGATCTGTCCTGTAGAAACTTGTTCTGAATTTCTAGTTTTTTATTCTTACAGGGCTTGCAGACTTGTTTAGTTGCATTGCTTTCAAGGTATGCTAATTCAACTCGTGGCCTTTTCCATGTTTATCAAACATCAACTTTGTTAGCAAGTCTTTATACAAAGAGGAAATTGATTAAACATCTCTTCTCATATGATGCTAGACAAACAATGCAGCTAATATTGAATAAGTATATAATTATGAAGTTGACTGGAAACAGGTGTTTGTTGCTGCAGAGAAAGATTTGAATTGAAAAACCAACAAACTAATGAACATCTTTGGTGAAAATTTAGTCGTTATCATTGTACTTCACCATGATTTCACGAGAAAAGAATAATTAAGCTCTCAAACTTCGTGGATAAATCAATTTTTTCAGATGGTTCAAGCGTGTGGGAGAATCATTCATCAAAGTACCTATCTTTGGAGCTGTCTCGTACCTTACTTTGGCGGTTTCTCCATTCTGCATAGCTTTTGCTGTGGTTTGGGCTGTGTACCGAAATGTCTCTTTTGCATGGATAGGTCAAGATATTCTTGTAAGTTTCCTGGAATATCTGAAATCTTCATATCTCATTTCTATTTTTCCATGCCTTCCTATTATTAGGATAGTATTTTCTACTGAATTACAATTTTTCATGAGTTATGCTTCCTTGAATGAAAAGATTTCTCTGGTTTCTTTCTTTTTCAATCAGGGAATTGCGCTGATAATTACCGTTCTTCAGATAGTGCGAATCCCTAATCTCAAGGTAATCAGTCAGCTTATCAGTATTTTATTATGAAGGCCGTATGTAACACTTACATGGAGCTTTTCTTGATTCTTCTCTTTTCACCTTTAAGCATCTACAATTGTCACATTTTTATGGCTACCATATTGCTCTTATGTACTAGATAAGAATTTTACAACATTTCTTGATTCACATCTTCATTTAACTAAGGCTTCCGGTCAAATGCCTTTTGAATGAGCAGTATTAGAACTATTGTCTTGACATATAAAGGGGACATTTGCTTGCCTGACACCATTTAAATGAATTGCTTGTTAGATTCTTTACTAAAGAAGAATTCCCTTTTTTCCCTCTGTTTCTTTGTAGAAAATGTTAAGAGTTCCCTGAATTTTTACTGCTCAGCTTGTAAGAATCCTAGACACGTGCAACCGTCGTTAAGAAGCTGTTTTTCGTCCTGCTTGGAAGTGGCGGTGCAGTAGAAAACTCAAAAAAATGATCGAATCTTTGGATGTTTTGAAAATACTATGAGGTGCTTGAAAATTGTCAAAATTCTTGAATAGGAAGATCACCAAGAATATATTCCTTAGTATACTCTTCAATGAAGCTTTACTTGGATGTATATTCAATAAATTAATGTTTAGAGCACATGACGTTACCTTAAAAAAATTGCTCCCTCTTTATTTATTTTTATTTTTTGAATTTTTTTATTTTCTTTTCGTGGTCCTTTCACCCTCCTTTCCACTGATAACTGCAACATAGGGTGTAAAGTATCTTATCGTACCTCTCTAATGCACAAGCCATATGATTATAGGACCTTGAATACAATTAAATGGAGAAATTTAGGAGCATCTAGTTAGTATGTAATATACACGAACTTTAAGAGCATGTTAAAGGCTCTATTTATTATAACTCTAGGCGTTCCATGTGATTGAGTTGTATATCTAGTCCTGTTTGAACCACCCTATTTCCTATTTGAATTATGTATATTCAAGAGAATAAAAATTAATTTTCTCCTTTATACTGATGGAGCCTATTAAGATATACACTTTTATTTAATAAATACTTCCTTTTGCATTTCAGGTGGGTACTGTCCTTTTAAGTTGTGCTTTCATGTATGATATCTTTTGGGTGTTCGTTTCCAAGAAATTGTTCCACGAAAGCGTGATGATAGTGGTAAGTAATCATTGAACTTCAAAATATGGTGATTGTACAAACAAAATTGTTTTCATGGGAGATGAGCGTAATTTCAACTGTTGATGTTATCTCAGGTAGCTCGTGGTGATAGAAGTGGTGAGGATGGTATACCGATGCTTCTGAAAATTCCGCGCTTGTTTGATCCATGGGGTGGCTACAGTATCATAGGTTTCGGTGATATCCTCTTGCCTGGGCTTCTGGTAGCATTTTCACTTAGGTATGAGTTCTTAATCCGTAGAAGAATTTGCAATCTTTCTGCTCACTCGATTCTCGCAGTGTCATTATGTGTGAAGTTTTACAAAGGTTTATGTTGGCTATTAATTTACCGCAACCCTCATTCACCTGGGCCTATGATTGGCCAAGGAAAAACATAGCCAGAGTTCCAGACTTTTTCTTAATCATGTATGTTATTACTTGCAGGTATGATTGGCTAGCAAACAAGAGTCTACGTGCAGGATACTTCTTGTGGGCAATGTTTGCCTATGGATTAGGTAAACAAATTATGAAAATTACTTGCAATTATTCTACTTGTACAGATATTTTGTATAGATAGGTTGACAGATCCATGCTATCAACCTATCTATACAAAAATTCTGTACATGTAGCAAAATTCAATTACCCGAGCCACAAGAACTTACTGATTTGTCGTTTCTTCCAAACACTTTCTATCGTTGCCAAATTTTTTTAATAGTGAGGCCACTTTCGGATGTTAACTTTTCGAAATATATGACAGGTCTTCTTATTACATACATAGCGTTGAATTTGATGGATGGCCATGGCCAACCAGCGCTGCTTTACATTGTCCCTTTTACACTTGGTAACTTTTACAACCCAATTAAAGGGGAATCGACTCTATGCTTCTTGTTTACCTGATGGCTGATAGCGCACTGTTATTTTGACGCAGGAACATTTTTGGCACTAGGAAAAAAACGAGGCGATCTGAAGATTTTGTGGACGAGAGGGGAACCGGAAAGGGTCTGTCCGCATGTTCGTCTTGAATCTACTCAAGAATCACTTTGATAAGATGAGGAAATTTCGTTGTGTAATCATGTAATCCTAGTGATAGCATTATGATAATGTGAAAATCAGCAGTATATAGTCTTGGCAAGGCTTGTTAGTGTGATTTGAAATGTTCTTAATGGTATGTTTGGTAGGATGGTTCAAATAGCAATAAGAAATTTTATTGTCCACTACCACAGACCAAACATGCCCTTTAATGTAATGCAGATTTAATGAGTAGCAGAGCAAATGTGCACTCTTTGGCAAGTATGATGTATGTTTATCCAATCAGAACATAGAATGTTACGTGCAGCAGTTGATATTCTTTGTAGTGTAAGACAAGAAGCTCGTAATGCCGCCCTTAAGCAATGTGATATTTAGTGCATGTTTGATAAAGTTTATAACTCCTTATAAATTAGTTGTTTTCATTTTTATCTTCATGACATGTAGGAATCGTCACTTGTACCATTTGATAGGAATTCATGAATTATAATCTAATAAAAGTTTTGCCAAACATTATTTAAATTGTACATCAAGATCCTCTGACCATTTATCGGTTGGTCTTAAGATTCCAGTGTAATTACTAACATGAGAACGGTATTCATAATTTGTAACTTTGACGATATCTTTTCAATAAAAATTAAGGATGCTACAAAATTAATGGATTGGAATGGTGTTCAAATAAATAAGTTATAGTGGTGCAATTTTGCCACTATAAATTCTTCACATTGTACCATTCATTATTCGAAACCGGAAACCGCCAATTAGATAACCACGCTCAAGCACACCATAGGTGGAGTTCAGTTTGAATTTATAATTAAAATCATATACTTTTGTTTTATAAATCGGTCACAACTCGATCCAATAACAAGAAAAAAAATGTGGATTTTTGGAAGAAAAGGGCCGACAGGATTCTCAGCGTCCTTTCCTCAACAGCTGAGGAAGTTACCCAAGGAATTAGTGGCTCTGGCCTCACTGCCATTGTCACGGGTCCTTTTATCACTTGGATTTTTCGTGTTATTAGTATTATTTTTTTCACATTTTGCTAATATAAATATTGATCAGATTTCATGAGCCTGTCTGATTATGATGTCAAGTTGCTGTTCTGATTATTTGGCTTTGTGGGTTTTTTTTATTAATCAATGTTTTTTTATTAGTTTTGTATCTCAACTTGTAATCAGATTGTTTTTTCTTAGTTAGAAGATAGTTTTGTGATTATTGGTTTCTGGGAATGGTATTTAATGATTCTTGAATGAACTGTAGATTGCACAAATTCCCTTTTTTTCCTTGTTCAGTTGGTAAGAACTATAATGCAAAAATCATATGTGGAGTATTAACAGTTGATCAAATGGTATTTTATTATTCTTGGAATAATTCTGTGCTGTACATATTCCTATGTTTCCGAATTCAGTTGGTATGGAGTGTAATAGTCATTGATTAAGTTCAGAATTAATTCTTTGTGGGCTTTGGGATGTGAATATTAATATCTCATGGTGTCAACTGATAAAGTGATGGTGAAGTTTTAATGCGTTTCGCAGACTGTAACTTTATGTTTTTTGGGGTTCATTTGCCAGTATCCGAGATCTTATTAACCATTAAAACAAAAGCTTCTCTATGATTCCAACTTGTTTGAGTAATTGCAAATGTGGTTTAATTTATTATGAGTACTAATAGATTGGCATAACTGTCTTAGTCACATAGCCCGACAATCTTAAGTTCGCTGATAAATTGACTGATAAAGGAGGATAGAACTCCTGAGAAGACACAGGCTTGATTTGATATCAGTGGCTTATTTATGCATGGTAATTTCAACTGCATTTGGATGCTCCGTGACTCTTGTCTATTGCTTGACTTTGGAAGACGAAAACAAAAACATGACACTAAGAGGCTAAGCTTAAAAAGAATGAGAGTACTTTTTCCTAAGGTAAAGACTTCTAAAAATGCTCAAACATATTTGTCAGAAAATGTTACTAAAATTAAACATCTAAGCTTAGACAAACATGGTTTTGTAAGATGTACTGTCAACTCTTTTTATTGCACGTGAGGTGATGGCCTCTATTTATCTTCTTTTTTCCTTCTAGATCTACTGTTCAACACTATGACATTGCGTTCAACTATTTTGAAGATGGTGTGGCAATGTAAACTACCTCCACGGGTGGCTTTTATGGACGGCTGTGAGGGGACAGGCGTTAACGGCGGATAATCTTTGAAGAAAATGTTTTTATGTTACCGAATAGTGTTATAGGTGCAAGAGAGATGGGGAAACGATTGGCCATTTATTCCTCCATTGTGACGGTGTTCGGTGGTTGTGGAACGCTCTTCTAGCTTCCCAAAATTTGGATTGGCTGTTGCCTAAGCGTATGGAAGACGTGTTGCGGGCATGGAGGAGAAAATTTCTAGATAAAGATAGTAGGCTTGCGTGGAATCTTATTCAGGGATGCATTGTATGGTGTGTATGGAAAGAAAGGAACAGCCGCTGTTTCAAAGACCAAGCAAAAATAACAAAGCAAATTGGAGAATTGTTTCATATGACTTTGTATACTTGATTTAAGGCTGTGGCCATAATCACATAGAAATGCTGCCAAATTTTATGTCGTTTCTTTCTTATTTAAATTGATAATACACCTCCCATGTAGTATCTATTGATTAATAAAATTACTTAATTAGTTATCAAAGAAAATTTATTTAATTCTTTTGCTCATCCTCACCATCGTATGTTTCGTAATTATCCCATACCCTGCCAACTTCAAAAACTTAATATAGTAGCATTACTTCTTGATCGGAGACATAAAGTTGCTTGTAAGTTTTTTGGTTATTCTCCGCGTTCGTGGGTAGTTAATATGCCAAAGTCATTTTGGTCTTTCCCTTCCGTGGTTACAAAATTTGGAGCACTGGATATTTATGCTCTCATGGCTTGTAAAAAGAATCCAAATGCACTTTTCCTTACTTTTGATGTTTATCTTCTGCATAATTCAAGAGCATCTAGTGGTATTGGCACGGAGACTACCCGGGTCCTTGCCTTGCGTGGTGTTCATGTAATTATGGCAGTACGCAATGTGGACAGTGGTACAAAAGTTAAAGAAGCTATAATTAAGGAAATCCCAGATGCTAAAATGGATGTTATGGAACTAGATCTTAGTTCTATATCATCTGTTAGGAAATTTGCATCAGAATATAACTTGTCGGCTCTTCCGTTTAACATTCTCATGTGAGATTACTCGTTCACTTATATACTAGTATCTAAACAGTACATTCCCTTGGTGCATGCTATTTCTTACCTGTTTGCAAAAACTTACATCATTGCTCGGTTGAAAGTAATAATGCAGGGGTTATGGCTCCACCTTTCATGGAATCTGAAGACAAGATCGAACTGCAATTTGCTACTAATCATCTAGGTGCTTTTTCTATTAGTTTTATTCATATTTTTTATTTAATGTTCAAAATCTTTCAATTTAGACCTGGATTCTATGTTTGTTTTCCTTTTTTCCTTATTCGGGGAGATGGTCAATCACTTCAGGTATCCAATGCTAGCTGTTTTACTGTCACTTATAAATATTTCTTTGTTTTCAAACACGTTTGAATGTGCTATTTTTTCTTATTTTTGAAGTAAGACTTATCTGTCAAAATGAATAAGTTATTTATTTTCAATTTTAACCAATAAAAATATTATTTATATAAAACTTGCTTATATATTAACTAATTAGCTTAGCCAAAAATGCTCTCACTCAATATGCATTTCTATCATCGCATAGCTAACCCTCTCTTTGAAACTCTTATTAACCTCCCATTATTTGGTAAAAATAATCTTCCAAGCTCCTTGTATTTCTTCTTGCAAATCAATATGGGCTTGTTTTGCACTGGACTTGACAATTTTACAAACAAGTGTTTAACTTTGTTTTCTTCTTTAATGTTGTGTATGGTAGAATCCAACCTTAACAAACAAGCCAAATGGGTTTAATATGTTTTCACTGTAATGAGCTGAACTTCAGAAACAAGATGCAAATAAGAAAAATCATTACTTTCCAGTGCAGGGCACTTCCTTTTAGCAAATCTTTTATTGGACAACATGAAAAAAACTGCTTGTGAGAGCCAGAAAGAAGGAAGGATTGTCATTGTTGCATCAGACGGTCACTGGGTAGTTTATTGTGAAGGAATTCGTTATGATAAAATCAATGATTGATCAAGGTAAGTAGTGATTAAACTTTATCTTACTTTTCTCAAGATTAACCGTGTTATTTATTCCCATGCAATGACCAATTTATAATTAAAAGAATTTTAATTTTTGTTATATTTTATGTCTTCTGGAATCGGAGCTCAAACAGTTAGAATCAAATAAAAGTGTAGTTTAAAGCTGTGAAAATTAGTTAAGAATAACATAAATCATGAAAGGAAGAAATCCAAGAAAGATGCAAAAATGGGGTTAGAATTCAGAAAATGGTGCGGAAACTGAAGTTTGTGCTGCTGGTGCTGTTCAATTGTTCTCTCTCTTTCGTGGTGTTGTGTGTGATGAGCAAGTGGTGAGTTAAGGAGTTTGCTTCCTGTTAATCAACATATCCAGTTGTGAAATTTGAAGAAAAGGTTGCTTCTAGAAAATATGTATTGGTTAGATTCTTTGATATTCCATATTTAATCTAGGCCATCAGCAGGACAGAATAAGCAAGAATATGCATACCTTTTAGTGATTTCTACATTTAAGTCACAGTTCTCATAGAAAAATGTTGTCAATCATTGATTTTGGATAATATGTATATATTCAAACTTTATTTAATTAATATTTGACTTAGGGTTAGCTGATAAATTAATATATTCAGCCATGAAAACTGAAAGAAAGGTGTAATATATATTTATACAGATACTTTGATAATTCATCCATGTTTAGCTGGTAAAAGATCTAGTGGACATAATATACAAACCTTTTCATGGTGTTTTTTAAAGTCGTAGTTCTTTGTAAAAGAAAAAATGTTGATCTGAACTTTTGCCACCTGTACAACGATCAGTAGTGAACACCTCCACCTTGTTATCGAACATGTTTGGCTAAGTTTAAAAAGTTCTCTTATTAGTAAATTAGCACTAAAAAATTATTTATTTCATTGGTTAAAATTGGAAACGTATAAGTTGCTTATATTGACTAATATGAGAGTTACTCCAAAATAGGTAACTTTTGTTACTTAAGTAAGAAAATAGAAACATATCCAAACAGATTTGAAACAAAAAATTACTTGAAAGTTCAGCTGAAGTTGCTGCTTATTGTATATTACATGGTTAGCATTGTCTGACCTCAGGTAAGCATGATATATGACATTTTACACTAAAATCTTAGAGTGA